CCCAAGTAGCTGGGATTACAGGCGCCCGCCAAAACGCCCAGCCATTTTTTGGTTGCAGCCATCATTGTTGTTTGGCGGGCCGGGCTGGGGATTCGAACCCGCCACCTTAGGTGTATGTGGCTGGCGCCTTAGCCGCTTGAGCCACAGAAGCCGAGCCTAGATATGGATCTTTTAAGGTTAGAGCAGGGGTGTGGCAGGCATGGTGGGATCTAGGAGGGAGGAGCCCTAATCACTGAGCCTCTTATCCCCTCAGCTCACAAGTATGTGCCTCGGGCCATCCTGGTGGACCTGGAACCTGGGACCATGGATAGTGTCCGGTCTGGGGCCTTCGGGCATCTCTTCAGGCCTGACAACTTCATCTTCGGTAAGTTACCCTTGCTTTAGTTCTGATGGCAGATCCCAAGACAGGCAAGCCCAGGGTGCTGGAAACAAAGAACAAAGTCAGTTTCTCACTGATCTTACAGGGTGGTGACTGATCCTTCATTTTATAGTTGGGCATTGGAGATCCAGAGCATGGATTCTGCGCAGGAAACAGACCACTGATGTATTTGAGGCACAATGAGTTGTGTAACAGAATGAGATCACAGGATCCTCAGCGAAGTGGGGCCTATGTAGGACTCTTGAATTCATGAGACAGGGCCATGCTGTGATTCTCTCACAGAAATGGGAAGAGGCCTCGTTCCCTCTGCCTTCCAGATCCCAGAATGTCCCCCTGATAGATGCTGATTCACACCTACCCCAGTCAGTCAGAGAGATTATCTCCCCTGAGGAGACAGGCAGGACTGCCTGTCACAGGACAGTCTCCAGGTCTCACCTCCCAGTCCAGAGCCCTCAACACTGGGCACCATGCAGCTGGGGCCAGGGAAGGCTGGCTGGTGTGAGGTAGGTTCAGGGGCCACTTAATGGAGGAGACAGCAGTGGCCCTGGGGTTCCACAACTGCCCTCTTTGATGCCCAAGCAGGTGTGAGGCTGGAGGTCAGGAGAGCCCTTGGCCCCTCTCTGTTCTTCTCCTCTCTACCCCCACAGGTCAGAGTGGGGCTGGCAACAACTGGGCCAAAGGGCACTACACGGAGGGCGCGGAGCTGGTAGATTCTGTCCTGGACGTCGTGCGGAAGGAGTGTGAGAATTGCGACTGCCTGCAGGGCTTCCAGCTGACCCACTCGCTGGGTGGCGGCACGGGCTCTGGCATGGGCACGCTGCTCATCAGCAAGGTGCGCGAGGAGTACCCCGACCGCATCATGAACACCTTCAGTGTGGTGCCCTCGCCCAAAGTGTCAGACACTGTGGTGGAGCCCTACAACGCCACCCTGTCCATCCACCAGCTGGTGGAGAACACAGACGAGACCTACTGCATTGACAACGAGGCGCTTTACGACATCTGCTTCCGCACGCTCAAGCTGGCCACACCCACCTACGGGGACCTCAACCATCTGGTGTCAGCCACCATGAGCGGGGTCACCACCTCCCTGCGCTTCCCGGGCCAGCTCAACGCTGACCTGCGCAAGCTGGCGGTGAACATGGTGCCTTTCCCGCGCCTGCACTTCTTCATGCCGGGCTTTGCACCACTCACAGCTCGGGGCAGCCAGCAGTACCGCGCACTCACGGTGCCCGAGCTCACCCAGCAGATGTTCGATGCCAAGAACATGATGGCTGCCTGCGACCCGCGCCATGGGCGCTACCTGACGGTGGCCACCGTCTTCCGTGGACGCATGTCCATGAAGGAGGTGGACGAGCAGATGCTGGCCATTCAGAGCAAGAACAGCAGCTACTTTGTGGAGTGGATCCCCAACAACGTCAAGGTGGCCGTGTGTGACATCCCACCCCGTGGCCTCAAGATGTCCTCCACCTTTATTGGCAACAGCACGGCCATCCAGGAGCTGTTCAAGCGCATCTCAGAGCAGTTCACCGCCATGTTCAGGCGCAAGGCCTTCCTGCACTGGTACACAGGTGAGGGCATGGACGAGATGGAGTTCACCGAGGCCGAGAGCAACATGAACGACCTAGTGTCCGAGTACCAGCAGTACCAGGATGCCACAGCTGAGGAGGAGGGCGAGATGTATGAAGATGAGGAGGAAGAGTCGGAGGCCCAGGGTCCCAAGTGAAGCCACTCACAGCTGGGGTGTGAGGCCAGGTGCTCTCTCCCTAGTGTCATCTTGCTGCCAACACTCCCTGCTTTGCTCCCCTCCAGCTCACCACTCCCGGAGGGCCCCCAAGTCCTTGCCCTTCACCACTGACAGCCACCCACACCCCTGAGTCCACCTGGCTCCATCTCCCACCACAAGCCATCTCTGCTATGTGCCACCATTTGTCGCTGACTTATTGTGGCTCCAGGCATGATGGTTTATGGTCTGTTTTGTTTTTTACTGGCTTATGTTTATATTTTGGGAGGTACTTAATAAATCTGCTGTCAGATACCCCTGTCTGGTGTGGAGATGTTTTTTATTCTGAAAGTTGGGTCTGGAGTGTGAGTCAGGGCAGACAGGGGGGCCCAGGAGTGCAGGTCACTTTGTCCTCTCAGCTGGTTGCTGTGTCAGGCCTGGGCTTGGAGCCTGAAGGGGGCTCTAGGAGGTAGGGAGAAGGAGAAGGAATGTGCTTGGATGAAGCCTGTGACTTAGAAACTGGTCTCCCTCAGGGTAACTCACTTCCTAAACCTGTCTTCTGGCTAATCTGTGTCTGAAAGTTGGGGCAGGCAGACCCTGCCAGGGCAGAAACTGACAAAAGTTCTGAAGCCTGAGACCTGACCCAGAGAGGTAAGGAAGGGACCCCTGAGCATCCCCTGGGGGGAAAAATGTGTGTTGGGGGTCTCAGGGCCTTAGTTCTGGGAAGGGGCTGGATGGAGTCCATAAGCCATGGTCATAAGACCCAGGGCCAGGCTCATGAGGACATTATGAGGGCTCAGTGTGCCCCTGGAGGTCATTTCCTATAGATGCAAGACAGGTGCTCACAGGGCCCCATGTTTTTCTGTAGGGAAAGGTCCCAGATATGGGATGCTGGCAGGATTAAGGAGCAGAGCTGGAGCCACAGAAGGGACCATCTGGACAAGAGATGTGGCTTTTGATAGGAGGGATCCACTGCCAAACCCCAGCTGGGAATAAACATTCTACTTTCTCCATCTGCTCTCTAGCTGGGGTTCCCCACTGACTGAACTCCCTGGTGGGAAATCAAGGACAGGAGACCCAGAGGGGGCTTCCATTCAGGTCAGCCTCAAGGCAGAGAGAAGGGCCAGGAAGAGTGAGAAGTGGGTTTGGGTTGAGGCATGGTCCCCACTTCTAGTCTCTCACCCAACTGCCCTCTCTTCAGCCCCATGAAGGGGTTTCTGTGCTGTTCCCTGCTGTTCCCTTCTGTTCCCTGCTGTTCCTCTTATACCTGGAAGGATGTCTGACTCATAATAGATATTGAATAAATATTTACTGAATAAATGGCTTAAAGTATAGTCTGTCCTGTAACAAGGAATCTGGAGGTGGAGCAGTCCAGGGTTGGTCTATTTGTTGGCTTATCAGTCTCTCTAAGGATGCAGGTTCTTTCCCTCTTTTAGTGGCTTGTCCTACTGTATGAGCCCCATTGTCTCAAGACCACTGCCACTGCTTTGGTCATCACATCTAGATCAAAGGCTGAAAAGGGGAGCTTCTTATCTTGTGACTCCCAGGGATGAAATTCTAACCCCCCCCCCCAGCAAGTGCCCCCTCACATCTGTTTGGTAAGGACTTGTATACTTGTCCTTAGACAGATACCTGGCAAGCAGAATAGAATTATTCTGGTGGTTTTCATTAATCAGGGTCACCAACTGAGGTGGAAAAAGAACTATATGAAAAACAGCTCTGGTAGTAGGGAGATGGTGTTTGGGAGGCACTCATGAGGGCATCTGCAGACAAAGCTGGGCAGTTCTGAGAACAGGACTGTGGTGGGGGTAGAGCCCATAGAACCAGTCCTCTGAGGAAGGCTGGGAGGGCTGGGAGTGCTGGGTCACAAGAAGGAGAGACTCCAAGTGTCCTGGCAAAGACTTCAAATCCCCACTGACCTTTGGTAAGGCAGCCCTCTAAGGGAATGAAAGCATCCTGCAAATGATCCAAGAAGCTCTAGCAGGACAGGCAACCCAGGGGGTGGAGACACCATGCACTGAGCAGGCACCAGCAGAGGCTGGGTGACCATGGATGGCAGACTGAGGTTGATGTCCCACCTGAAGGGAAACTTGCCCCCTTTCTTGTAACCCTCCCAAAACTGAAGGCTGGGAGCTTTTCTAAGGACCATTCTCAAAGTGCTGTTCCTGACAGTTTGCATTTCTCCAGAGATGGCCATCAAGTGACTTCCATCCCACAGGCTGTCTGGTGCTGTGACCTGTGCACTTTCCCATCAAGAAATTAATTCTCTTCTTGAACCTGGAATGGCCTCTTTTTTTTTTTTTTGAGACAGAGTCTCACTTTGCTACCCTGAGTAGAGTGCTATGATGTCATAGCTCACAGCAACCTCAAACTCCTGGGCTCAAGTGATCCTTTTGTCTCAGCCTCCTAAATAGCTGGGTCTACAGGCACCTGTCACCATACCTGGCTGGTTTTTCTATTTTTAGTAGAGTTAGGGTCTTTCTCTTGCTCAGGCTGGTCTCTAACTCCTAAACTCAAGCAATCCACCCACCTCAGCCTCCAGACTGCTGGGATTACAGGCAGGAGTCACCCTGCCTGACCTGGAATGGCCTTATCTTTTGTAAGAACCTTCCTGGAAGTGATGTGTGACTTTCAATGTTAGGTCGTGAAAGGTCATATAACCCTTGCTTGGCTGCCAGGAGGCTTCCTCTTTGTGAGAAGCACAAGCCACATGGAGAGGCCCCACATGGACAGTCTGGGAATTGCAGGCAAGTTCAATCTGCAGCACCTCAGTCAGTGTAGGCAGGAGTGAGACTGTGCAGACAGCCCCAGTGTTTGTGGGTCCCTACCTGAGACTCCAGATATTATAGTGCAAAAACAAGCTATCCCTGCTGTGTCTGAATTCCTGATCCATACCATTCATGAACATAATACAATGGTTCTTATTTGATGCCATCATGTTTTAAGGTGGTTTCTTGGTAGTAACGGATAACCTGAGAGACCCCCTGGGCCTATACCCAACACATGGTTCTTGCCTTCTCCTGGAAGCTCTAGCTTGGGTTTGATCTGGAATTTGGAGTCCATCAGCAGCCTTGGTGAGAAGCAGCATGTTTTGCACTATGGAGTCTCAGCTGAATTGAGGGAAGACTCTGGAACGTGGCCCCGCCATTCTTACTTTTACCAGCTGCCTGCTCATGCTTCAGGCTTTCCTCCTGAGTAACTCTGTCAAGGAAAACCTCATCTCTGCTCCTGCTGCTCAGGGAGCCAGGTCCCCTTGTCTCCCTGTGCCCTTAGTAACTAGCTTTTTTTTTTTTTTTTTTTTGAGACAGAGCCTCCAGCTATCCCCTTGGGTAGAGGGCTATGGCATCAAGGCTCACAGCAACCTCCAACTCCTGGGCTCAAGCGAGTCACCCGCCTCAGCCTCCCAAGTAGCTGGGACCTCAGGTGCCCGCCACAACGCCTGACCATTTTTTGGTTGCAGCCATCATTGTTGTTTTGGTGGGCCTGGGCTGGATTCGAACCTGCTACCTTAGGTGTATGTGGCTGGCGCCCTAGCCACTTGAGCCATAGGTGCCAAGCCAGTAACTAGCTTTGAGGCCAACTGCCTCATTCCTTCTTTTCCCTACCCCAGGTTCAGTGCAGGTAGTGCTGATGGGATCTAAGATTTCAAAGAGCTGTAACTTCAAGCCCCCTTGGACATCTTGGCTCCTCTGGAGAGCTTCTTCCCTTTGGTGGGGACTGCCTACCTCTTTGTCACAGCCCTTCGTCACTGATTCTTGCCTGTAGAAATCCTCTCCTCCCTTTCTTTTTATCACAGAAAAATCAGAAAACAAAGATTAATGAAAAGAAAACACTAGATTGACCCATGTTCATACTTAGAGCTAACACTAGAAACTGGCCAGTGGGTCGGTGCCTGTGGCTCAAGTGGCTAAGGCGCCAGCCACATACACCTAAGGTGGCAGGTTCAAATCCAGCCCGGGACCGCCAAACAACAATGATGCCTGCAACCAAAAAATAGCCAGGAGTTGTGGTGGGCACCTGTAGTCCCAGCTACTTGGGAGGCTGAGGCAGGAGACTCGTTTGAGCCCAGGAGTTGGAGGTTGCTGTGAGCTGTGATGCCATAGCCCTCTACCCAGGGGGACAGCTTGAGGCTCTGTCTCAAAAAAAAAAAAAAAAAAGAAAAAGAAAAGAAACTGGCCAGCATATCCCCAAAAGCAGAAGTGGAAATGTCCTCCTTGCATCCCTGCCCTGCTCTGCCCTTGACTTTAGAGGTGGCTTCCACTGTAGAAGCTGTTTTTTAGTATGGGTGAGGGGATGGGAAAGAGTCAGCAGATATATTAATTAGATAGGAATCAAGCCCTCCTGGGGAAAAAGGGCAAGGGCCAGGTCCCCAGACCCAATCTTGGTGCTGCTCACTCCATTCCTGTCCCAGTACCAATCTGCCAATCGGAACTTAGCTGCCAACTAAAAAAGGATGTAAAAGACTCTCTAACCCATGAGCCTAACAGTAGCTACAGTAGAGTCTTAAAGGTGACCTAGAACAGCCCAAGGCTAATTATCACGTCAGTAGCTTAATCTACATTGGAGGCTGGGTTGTGGGGTAGGAGGAGTAGAGGTGATTGGCTCATGCCTGTAATCCTAACACTCTGATAAGCCAAGGTGGGTGGATTACTTGAGCTCAGGAATTGGAGACTAGCCTGAACAAGAGGGAGACTCCATCTCTAAAAATAGCCAGGCGTTGTGGGAGGTGCCTATAGTCCCAGCTACTTGGGAGGGTAAGGCAAGGAAATCTCTTGAGTCCAACAGTTTGAGGTTGCTGTGAGCTATAAGGCCAAAACACTCTACTGAGAGTGACAAAGTGAGACTTTGTCTCAAAAAAAAAAAAAAAAAATCTCCATTAGAAAGACTAACCACACCAAGTGTTGTCAGGACACAGAGGGTCCACCAGAATGCTCACATTTTGCCAGTAGGACTGTGAGATGGCGTAACCACCATGGGAAAAATTTTGATAGTTCCTACCAACTTAAATACATACTAACTGTATAACCCAGCCATTCTGCTGCTAAATGTTTGCTGAGGAGAAATGAAAGTGTATCTCCACAAGACAATTTGTTCACCAGTGTTTATGGCAGCTTTATTCATAAGAGCAAACCCTGAAAACAGCCCAGATGTTAATCAATAGGTGAAGAGGTAAACAAAACGTGACACATACATATCTCAGAACCCTACTCAACAACACAAGGAACAACATGGATGTGTTTCAAAATAATTACATTATTTTGCATGTGCCACCATAACTGACTTAAAAAAATTTTTTTTAAACGTATTTTATTTTATTTTATTTTTTGCGATTTTGGCCAGGTCCGGGCTTGAACCCAGCACCCCCAATATATGAGGCTGGCACCCTACTCCTTGAGCCACAGGTGCTGCCCCTTTTTGAAAAAATTTTTTGTAGGAATGGGGTCTTGCTATGTTGTCCAGGCTGTTCTCTTAACTCCTGATCTCAAACAACCCTCCCACCTTAGCCTCCTAAATTGGTGGAATTACAGGTGTGAGCCACCACTGTGTCCTGTTCATTTCTATAAAATTGTAGAAGATGAACCCTAATGACAGGAAGCAGGTCAGTGGTATCTGACAGAGGTAGGGATGGAGTGGAGGAAAGGTTATAAGAAAGCATAAAGAAGCATTTGAGGGGCTGCACCCATGGCTCAAAGGAGTAGGGCGCTGGCCCCATATGCCGAAGGTGGCAGGTTCAAACCCAGCCCTGGCCAAAACTGCAAAAAAAAGAAAAGAAAAGAAGCATTTGAGGAAGTTGGATGGGTTTACCGCCTTAATTATGGTTATCATTTCTCAAGTGTATGCATATATCGAAATCTATTTTTGCATTTGTCAAAATCTACTTTTAAATGTGCAGCTTATTGTATGTCAATTATAACCCAATAAAGCTGTTAAGAAAGAAATTTCCAGTGGTTCCCACCTCACCCTGAGTCAAAGCCAGTGTGCTTACAGATGGCCACAGCCCCTCCATCTCTAGTCTTCCTATCTCTCCTCACTTAGTACCAAACTCTAGTCACACAGACCTGCATTTGGTTCCTCTGGGCTTCCACACTTCTGGTTTCCTTCTGATGTTCTTTCCTAGCTCTCTGCTGGTTTCCTCCTCCCAGTCCTCTGGGTTTTGGCTTAAGCATCCAGCCCTCCTCCCCTGGTCTCAGGCACTACTTTGTCTACTGGTGCACTTCCTTCTTGGTGTTCTCACATCTCTGGTTAATTCACATCTTTGTTTATTGTCAGTCTATCTGGCTCTTTGAATGCTGGCACCTTGTTTGTCTTCTCACCTCTGTGTCCTGGTGCTGTGGCTTATAGCATGACATACAGTTGGTGCTCAATAAATGTGTTGTTGGATGGTCTACAGAGGAATAGAGAAATGGTCATAATGCATTCTAATTAAATAAGAAGTAGGCTGGGCAAAGTGCCTAACACCTGTAATCCCAGCATTTGGGGAGAATAAGGCAAGAGTATCACTTGACGAGTTTCTAGAGTTTTTTTTTTTGAGACAGAGCCTCAAACTGTCGCCCTTGGTAGAGTGCTGTGGCATCACTGCTCATAGCAACCTCCAACTCCTGGGCTTAAGCAATTCTCTTGCCTCAGCTTCCCAAAGTTGCTGGGACTACAGGCACCCACCACAATGTCTGGCTATTTTTTGGTTGTAGTTGTCATTGTTTTTTGGCAGGCCTGGGCTGGATTTGAACCTGCCAGCTCTGGTGTATGTGGCTGGTACCTCAGCCACTTGAGCTACAGGTGCTGAGCGATTTTTTTTCTTTTTTTGAGACAGAGTTTCACTGTTACCCTCAGTAGAGTGCTATGGCATCATAGCTCACAGCAATCTCAAACTCTTGGGCGCAAGTGATTCTCTTGCCTCAGTCTCCCATGTGGCTGGGACTACAGGCACCTGCCACAATGCTCAGCTATGTTTTGTTTTGTTTTTGTTTTTTTCTTTTGAAACAGGTTCTTGCTCTGTTGCTCAGGTTAGAGTGCAGTGGCATCATCATGTTCACTGTAACTTCAGACTCCTGGGCTCAAGTGATCCTCTGGCCCTGGCTTCCTAAGTAGCTGGGACTATAGGCATGTACTACCATGACTGGTTAATTTTTAATATTTTGTAGAGACAGAGTCTTAATATGTTGCCCAGGCTGGCCTTGAATTCCTGGCCTCAAGCAATCTTCACACTTTGACCTCCCAAAGTGCTAGAATTATAGATGTGAGCCACTGCACTTACAGGCCAGAAGTTTGAGACCAGCCTGGGCAACATAGCAAGACTCTGTCTCTGCAAAAAAAAAAAAAAAAAAAAAAAAGATTGGGCGCAGTGGCTCATGCCTGTAATTCTAGCACTCTGGGAGGCCAAGGCAGGTGGACTGCTTGAGCTAACAAGTTCAAGACCAGCTTGAGCAAAAAGTGAGACCCTGTCTCTACTAAAAATAGAAAAACTAAGGCAAGAAGATTGTTCGAGCCCAACAGTTGGAGGTTGCTGTGAGCTATGATGCTATGGCACTCTACTCAGAGCAACATATTGAGACTCTGTCTCAAAAAAGAAAAAAATTAACTGGGTGGTGCCTGTGGCTCAAAGGAGTTGGGCACTGGCCCCGTATGCTGGAGGTGGTGGGTTCAAAACCCAGCCCCGGCCAAAAACTGCAAAAAAAAAAAAAAATTAGCTAAGCATAGTGGCATATGACTATAGCCCCAGCTTCTTGGGAAGGTGAGGTAGGAGAAAATCTTGAGCTTAGGAGTCTGAAGCTGCAGTGAGCTATGACTGTACCACTGCACTCCAGCCTGGGTAGCAGAGAAAGACCCAATTTCAAACCTTAAACTACACATAGAGTATGGGTCATCTTGGTTTCTCCTTGGAGGTGGGGATAGTTCCCAATCCTTTCATAAAGACTGGTTAAGATTTATGACTGGTAATGACACACTTGTGAAATCAACAGCTGGATGGATGGAACTTTCTTCTTCTCAGGGCTAGCCTCACCTGGGGCCTCTGCTTACTCAGTCCATTTACTGAATATCCTCTGTGCTCAGGCACTGGTCTGTCTGAGGCTTGAAACAGTGAAGAAAGCCAAAAAAAATGCTGTCTGCAGCCCTTACCTTCTGATGGTAGGGGTGGGCAGATGATAAAGAACACCAGACAGTGACAAGTGCTTTAGAGAGGCAATGAGAGTGTGAGGGAAGGGCCATGCCTCCCAGAGAAGATCTATGTTGACAACCGAGAGAAGAATGTTCCACAGATGCTCAGTTGGGCAAAGGCCTTGAGGCAGGTAAGGGAAAACTGGAAAGGAGGCAGGAGGAGGGCAGAGACAAAGTCTGGGGCTGACTTCTTCCCCGGACCCCTCCGATTGCTGGTCTGAGGATGAACTGTGGGGCCCAAGTGGAAGCTTAGAATGGTGGTGAGGCAGAGGGTTGTTGTTGGGAGGAGCCAGGAGAGAGAGTCCAGGTAGAAATAGTATCTCCAGGACATCTGGAGGGGCAGATGGAGCAGTAGGTCAGTGTATTCTCCCTTTAGGTCTGAGCAGATGGGGAGAAGAAGCACAGTGATGAATGTTATCCTGAGAAGCTGGGTTGGAATCTCACTCTACCCCCTTATTAGCTACTTGATCTTGGTAAAGTGGCCTGAGTCACTGCTAGGACACCACCTACCTTCAGGCTTAGATAGGGTTAAATGAGATAGCATGTGGGTTCCACCTGGGAGTAAACCAAAGCTGTGGCCTTCTACGCAGAGAGGAAACAGTCTTGGACCTCAGGACCACAATTCATACATGCCCCTGACCACTCTCCCCTGTCCTCAGCTCCTCCCTGTGAGATAAGGGGCATTTGGTGAAAAAGCTGATCCCTGAGCTGGCAGTGGGAGGCAGGATATGGGAGTTGAGGACAAAGCAGCCCTGCTCTGTGCACAAACAACTGGAAAGCAGTAAGAATACAGGCTCTGCAGACAACTGTCTTCAAAGTCCTTTCACTCTGGTCCTCCATTGAACAGCCCCATACCCTCAATGTGCCCGTTTCCTCCTCTACGAAGTGGGGTAGAGAGGCAATTTGTCCCTCCCTCACTAGCTGTGAAGGGTCCTGCAGGGTCCTTCAGGTGAGTCCAACACAAGTACCTGCTACTGTAGGGAGGTTTTTCTCTTCCTTTTTTTCCTTCCTTTTTTTTTTTTTTTAAACTACTGGGTTTAAAAGGAAAAAAAAAACCCTAAATGCTGCCATTTTTTTTTTAAAGTATTGTGGCTTGGATTTAAACTAGGACTTTTGTGACTGAGGGAAATTTAAGAAATGCACCCTCACCCATACCACTTTGAGTGGCGGGGTTGAGAGTCATCCTCTTCCCGGTGGGGACGTGGAGGCCCTGTCATGCGCCTCCGGGCCAGAGGCGGCAGCAGCGGACGGCCTGGCGGGACACAATGTAGCCAGGGCGGCGGGCCGGGTTACAATGTAGCGAGGGCGGCGGCGGTCAGGTGAGCGGCAGAGGGGGACTTTCTGAGGGTACGCTGGCGGAAAAGGAAGGGGGGGGTGTTCTTGGTCCTTGAGGCCTCTCACGGCTGCTGTTCTAGGGGATCCCTATTTCCCCACGCAGACGTTGAGGGCACATAGCCTGTCCGCAGGCCCCAGCCTGGGGCTGAGGCAGGATTCAGACCCCGGCCAGCTCAGGGCCTCCTACCTACTGGTCCTTTCTCAGGAATAGGGCTCCTTAGTGATCTCAGTGGCCCCACCCCCACCCCAGGTGACACTGCCGCTGCTTCAGCCATCAACACAGGCAGTCTGTGTGGGACCCTCATAGCTGTGCCTCCCTCTTGGAATGCTGGGCTGCCTTGAGCCTCAGTTTCCTCATCCTTGGAATGGGTGGGTGTAGTGGGCAAGACCTCCCCCTGTGAAAAACCTGGGACACAAGAGTAAAGAGTGAATTCGTGTGGCTGTATGTGAAGGTGGGAGATGGCTTGTCCCTGCAGCAGGCAGTGAAGCCATTGCCAGACTTCAGTGGGAACAGTGTCTCTGAGTACCCCCTGGGTCTTGACTCATCCAGGCATGAGCAGATAGAATTTAAATTCTCCACCTCACCTCCAAAATTATCAGGGCCTCCTGTGGCAGCTGTAATGATAATGCCACTTCTTGGTGGCCATACCATGAGACAGGAGGCCAGCTGGTGAGCACATTCTGAGCTCAGCCCAGCCTGGTATCCCTTAGTGCCCTAGAATGCTCTGGCATTATTCTAAAGTTTCCTTGCTGAGTTGTGGAGTGTCCTCACTCCCCCGCCCCCACCGAGGGGGTAGTCTCTGGAGAAAGGCCAGAGGGTGGAGTAGGCTGTTTTTTTCCTCTGGGTCTCTCACTTCCTCCTTGTTCCTTTCTGAGAGCCAGTCCCAAATCAGAGGACGGAGTTCTGTGGGGTGAAGGCTCATGGCTGCTATGGCTGCTGCTACAGCCTGTGTCCCTTTGGTCAGTGTGCTGGTTTGCTGTCTCTGTGCCATCAGCAGAGAGGGAAATATAACTCTTCAACTTGGAAGGACAGAAACTAAGGCTGAAAGGTCAGATTGCTCTACTTGACCATTCACTGCCTTTGTGAGTCCTGGGGCTGGCACTGACATTCAGAAAGTGAAGAAAAGATGCTTTTTACAGCCCAGAGGACAGCTACTGGGAATAGTAGAGGTGTTCCTGCCAGGTGCCTGCCTTTGAGCTCCCCTGCCATTTTTAATTTTATTTCTTTTTGAGACAGTCTCACTACCTTGCCCTGGGTGCTGTGGCATCATAGCTCACAGCAACCTCAAGTTCTTGGGCTTAAGCAATTCTCTAGCCTCAGCCACCCAAGTAGCTGGGACTACAGGCGCCCGCCACAACGACTGGCTGGTTTTTGGTTGCAGTTGTCATTATTGTTCAGCAGGCCCCGGTCGGGCTGGAACTTGCCAGCTTCAGTGTATGTGGCTGGCACCCCAGCTGCTGAACTACAGGCGCCAAGCCCCCTGCCATTTTTTAAACACCAGGAGGCTTCCAGGGAGAGCCCCAAAGAGCGGCAACTGTAACCTTCATGACAGTCCTTTGGGTGGGCTGGTCATGGTGAAGTGAAGTTTGCATAGCAGCAACTGTGGGCTCCTACCTTCTCTGACACAAATACTTAATCCTTCTACACACCGCAAAGTGTCCTCCCTGATTTATAGGCAAGAAAATGGGGTCATGTAGCTCATCACTGAGAGAACCAGCATTTAAATCAAGGCCGTCTGGTTCTTATAATTAGAAGGAAAGTGATAATAAATTATAGTTGATATTTATTGGATGCGTACCATGTGCTGGTTAGTTTTCTCAGCATTTTGTATTAACTAATTTAATCTTTACAGTAATCCTATTATAATTTTTTTTTTGAGAAGAGTCTCACTATGTTGCCCTCAGTAGAATGCTGTGATGTCATAGCTCACAGCAACCTCAGACTCTTGTGCTTAAGCGATTCTCTTGTCTCAGCTTTCTAAGTCGCTGGGACTACAGGTACCTGCCACAATGCTCGACTATTTTTTTTGTTGCAGTTGTTGTCGTTGTTTAGCTGTCCTGGGCCAGGTTCAAACCTATCAGCCTCGGTGTATGTGGCCAGTGCCCTAACCACGGAGCTACAGGCACCAAGCCCCTATTATAATTCTCATTTCAGATGTGCAAAATCAGGATAGAAAGGTCTATACATTTACCCCAGATCACACAGGTAGGATCTGGCAGAGCAGGGATTCAAGTGGGCCTATCTTTTTTTTTTTGAGACAGAGTCTCACTATGTTGCCCTCAGTAGAGTGCTGTGGCATCACAGCTCACAGCAACCTCAAACTTCTGGGCTTAAGCTATTCTCTTGCCTCAGCCTCCCAAGAAGCTAGGACTATAGGCACTCACCACAATGCCCAGCTATTTTTGGTTGCAGTCGTCATTGTTGACTAGCAACCCAGGCCGGGTTTGAACCCCCTAGCCTCAGTGTATGTGGCTGGCACCATAACCACTGTGCTATGGGTGCTGAGCCAGGGCCTATGTATCTTATAACCATGAAACTATTGGAATGATTAGTTAGGATCTTTTCTGTTTGCTAGAGACAGAAACTCCCTTCTCAATAACAATGATATCTATAGAAATTCTTTTCTTTTCTTTTCTTTTCTTTTTTTTGAGACAGAGTCTCACTATGTCACCCTCCGTAGAGTGCTGTGGCGTCACAGCACACAGCAATGTCAAACTCTTGGGCTTAAGCAATTCTCTGGCCTCAGCCTCACAAGTAGCTGGGACTACAGGTGCCAACTACAATGCTGGCTATTTTTTTTTTTTTAATGATTGTTGTCATTATTGTTTAGTAGGCCCTGGCTGAGTTAGAACCCACCAGCTCTGGTTCATGTGGCTGGTGCCCTAACCACTGAGCTATGGGCACCAAGCCTAGAAGTTAATTTCTGTCTACTAAGAATGAAACCTAGGCTGGGTGTGGTTGCTCATGCCTGTAATATCAGCAGTTTGGGAGGCCAAGGAGGGAAGATTGCTTAAGCTCAGGTATTTGACACCAGCCTGAGCAAGAGCAAGACCCCGTCTCTCCTAAAAGTATTTTTTCTTTATCATTTTTAATTATTATTTTTTATTAAATCATAACTTTATACATTGATGCATTTATGGGGTTCAGGGTACTGCTTCAATATACAATGTGAAATGTTTACATCAAAGTAAATAACACATTCATCACAATCTCCTAAAAATAGAAAAAGTAGTCAGGTGTGGCAGCTACTGGAGAGGCTGATGCAAAAAGATGGCTTGAGCCCAAGAGTTTTCTTTTTTAAGAGATAGAGTTTTTCTTTATCACCCTGGGTAGAGTGCTGTGGTGTCACAGTCCACAGCAACCTCCAACTCCTGGGCTTAGGCGATTCCCTTGCCTCAGCCTCCTTAGTTGCTGGGACTATAGGCCCCCACCACAATTCCTGGCTATTTTTTGTTGCAGTTTGGCCAGGGCTGAGTTTGAACCCACCACACTCGATATATGGGGCCAGTGCTCAACCCATTGAGCCACAGGCGCCATCCATTTTTTGGTTTTTTGAGACAGAGTCTCACCTTGTCTCCCTTGGTAGAGTGCTGTGGCATCACAGTTCACAGCAACCT